AAACAGATTGAACATGATGTCATTTAGGTAAAAAAATATAAATTAATGTAAAGATTATTTAGTAGGAGGAATAAAAGTTAGCAACTCAGGAAAAGAGGAATAAAAACTCACACTCTAATCATCTTTTAGCAAATGATGAAACAATGATCTATGAGTAAGCAAGTCAATAAAAATCCGCTGGTTTATAATGGTATTCATAACTAAAATAATCACACCATACAAGTGTCTAATAAATGTGGTACTATATATATATATATATATATATATATGTATATATATATATATATATATATATATATATATATATATATATATATATATATATATATATATATATATATATATATATATATATATATATATATATATATATATATATATATATACTATATATGTTTTGTTTTGTTTATGGGTTATCCTTAGAACCCATACCCTAATTTATTTATAAATAACTGCATGTTTAAATGTATGTACGAGTGTACATACATTTAAATTTTATAGATAACTAAAGGAGTGTACAACATTTACATTTAAGCAATTATATATTCTACAGTCTACTTATATATAACTACATATTATTATATACTCTATTACTGAAATTACTTTAAAATAAATTGCAATAAAATTTTTTTTGTTTTGTGTATAGTCTCTATATAGGTACACTCCATATACAACCATGTATTTTATATATGGTTGTATATGGAGTGTACAACATTTACAGTTATTAGTGATGTAAATATACCAGTAAATTTTGATTCAAATTTTCCTCAGAAGGTTTTTCAGGAAATTTTATATCTGAAAGTGTAAATTTTGTTTGGAAAAAAAAAAATTTTTTTTAAGAAAAATTTAAAAAAGTATTTGCATTTGGGGATTGCATTTTAGAAAACCATTTGCATTTGGGGATTTACACGAATTGGTATTTTTCTATGACTTCAACCCAATTAATGAGGACTAATTGCTTTGAACACTTATGCATTGTCCAAATCAACTTGGGGGATAAAAAAAGGATAAGAATATGGATATGGATATGATATTTTAACCATGCAGCCATTTCTGACTCACCTTCACTTCAATATATCCTTTCAAAACTTATCTTTCAATATTTCTTTGAAAACAAAAAATTTAAAATATAATGTCATTTTTTGGTGTGAATTTCAAAAATAATGAACTTCCTTCATCCAAGGGTATTAATTAAAAATGTAGAGGCCCCAATACAAGATAAGCTAATGAGACCCTGTTGTATTGACTGGGCACCAAAAAATAAGCAGCAATCCTAGGTAATAGGGTTTTACCTATTTTTACCTATTACCTATTAGGGTTTTACCTATTACCAATTTTTATTTTAGGTAAATGTTCTTTTTTAAATTTACATATTTTTAAAAATTTATACCTTAATGACTATTGTGGGGTGTATTAGCTGCACCAATCTAGCTACAGTTCTGCCATTTTGGCAACTCTCTAAAATTTATCCATATTACCAATTTGTTGGGCACAAAATTTTTTCTAGGATTTTCATTAAAAAAAATTTTTTTTTTTTTTTTTTTAATTCTCTTTTTAAAATAATTTTTTGTAATAAAATTTGTTGTTAAGCTAAATATGAAAATTAAATTACTGAATAAAAAAATTGTATCAATATCGTAAACAAACAAACAAATTGTATCTGTATTGTAAATAAACAAACAAATTGTATCAATATTGTAAACAAACAAACAAATTGTATCAATATTGTAAACAAACAAATTGTATCAATATTGTGAATAAACAAACAAATTGTATCAATATTATGAATACAAACAAATTGTATCAATATTGTAAATAAACAAACAAATTGTGTCAATATAATAAATAAACAAACAAATTGTATCAATATTGTAAATAAACAAACAAATTGTATCAATATTAAAACAAATTGTATCAATATGGGTCACTGTTATAACTATGAACTCTGTAGAATAAATGGTATCTATAAATATAGTATCTATAAATAAGATATTTAACTTGAGAGTTAACTAATTTATTCATTGATTCTTAAAGGCTATGCGCAGTTTGAGAGAATTAAAATTTTTATTAAGTTATAAATTTATTTTCAAGAAAATTTTATATATATAGTTCGTAGTTGTTTTTAAATCTAGTTATAATAAAATAAAATAAAGCATATAAAAAATATTCTATCAACAATGTATAAACAAAATTAAGTTGAAGAAAAACAACATGATGAGCTGGAATGTTATTACCTAGCCTTAAAGCAAAAGTATTCAGTCCAAGTATTAACTACCAATTAATAGAAAGGTTTTACTCCATAATCTATATTTTACAAGGTTTGAAGTGCAACTGGCAAAAAATTGCATCTGTAGTTAATGAAAATAAGAATGTTTTTTTGTTATAGAAAAAAATATATATGTAGTTACAATGATATTGCATTTGATACATCTAAGAAAAAACTTAATTTGAAAGGCAAAAATAAATTTTTATAAATTTTTGTTTAATATTGCAGCATCGA